TCTCTCTCTCTCTCTCTCTCTCTCTCTCTCTCTCATCCCAGGTGATGATAAATGTGAGGGGAGGGAGTCATCGCCACCTCACATGTCACCCCAAAATTACTCTCTCCCCTTCCTCCTCTCCCCAGGTGTTGACAGGTATGGGAGGGGATAGTCTCCCCCTTTAACCTCTCTCTCTCTCTCTCTCTCTCTCTCTCTCTCTCTCTCTCTCTCTCTCTCTCTCTCTCTCACCCTATATGTTGATGGAGAGGGGAGAAGCAGCGACACCTCTCATCATCCCTCCCTCCTCCCTCTTCCCTTCTCCCCTCTCCCCTCTCCCGTGAGATGTAATGGGTTGGGGTTAACGTCACACCCTTATCATCCCTCCTCACTGCCTCCTTCTCCACCTACTCTTTCTCTCTCCCTTCCCTCTCCCCTCCCTCTCCTTAGGTACTGATTTAGCACGAGAGAAATCAACACCTTCACTCTCCCCTCTCCCCTGTCCCCGTGTCTACCCTCTCCCCTCTTTCTACCTTCACCCCTCTCTCTACCTTCTCCCCTCTCTCTACCTTCTCCCCTCTCCCTACCTTCTCCCCTCTCCCTACCTTCTCCCTCGCCCTACCTTCTCCTTTCTCTATCTTCTCCCTCTTCCTCTTCACATCTCCCCTCCCTACCTTCTCCCCTTTCTCTACCTTCTCCCCTCTCCCTACCTTCTCCCTTCTCTATCTTCTCCCTCTATTCCCTCTTCACATCTCCTCTTTCCTCTTTCTCCCCTCTCCCTACCTTCTCCTTTCTCTACCTTCTCCCTTTCTCTACCTTTCCTCTATTCCCTCTTGCATCTTCCCTCTCCCCTACCTTCTCCCCTTTCTCTACCTTCTCCCCTTTCTCTACCTTCTCCTCTCCCCACCTTCTCCCCTCTCCCTACCTTCTCCTCTTTCTCTACCTTCTCCCCTCTCTATCTTCTCCCTCTATTCCCTCTTCACATCTCCCCTCCCCACCTTCTCCCTCTTTCCCTCTTCACATCTCCCCTCTTCCCTACTTTCTCCCTTCTCCCACCTTCTCCCCTTTCTCTACCTTTCCCTCTCCCCTACCTTCTCCCCTTTCTCTATCTTCCTCCTATTCCCTCTTCACATCTCCCTCTCCCCTACTTTCTCCCCTCTCCCTACATCTCCCCTCTACCTTCTCCCCTTTCTCTATCTTCTCCCCTCTATTCCCTCTTACATCTCCCCTCTCCCTACTTCCTCCTCTCCCTACCTTCTCCCCTCTCTCCTTCTCCCCTTTCTCTACCTTCTCCCCTCTATTCCTCTTCATCTCCCCTCTCCCCACCTTCTCCCTCCTCCCCTACCTTCTCCTTTCTCTACCTTCTCCCCTCTATTCCTCTTCACATTTCCCCTCTCCCTACCTTCTCCCCTCCCCTATTCTCCCCTCTCCTTCTCCTTTCTCTATCTTCTCCCCTCTATTCCCTCTTCACATCTCCCCTCTCCCTACCTTCTCCCCTCTATTCCTCTTCAATCTCCCTTTCCCTACCTTCTCCTCTCCCTACCTTCTCCCCTTTCTCTACCTTCTCCCCTCTTCCCCTCTTGCATCTCCCCTCTCCCTACCTTCTCCCCTCTCCCTACCTTCTCCCCTTTCTCCTTCTCCCTCTATTCCCTCTTCATTTCCCTCTCCCTACCTTCTCCCCTCTCCCTACCTTCTCCTTTTTCCATTCTCTACCTTTCTCCCTCTATTCCCTCTTCACATCTCCTCTCCCCTACCTTCTCCCCTCTCCCTACCTTCTCCTCTCCCTACCTTCTCCCTCTCCCCTACCTTCCTCCCCTTTCTCTACCTTCTCCCCTCTATTCTCTTCACATCTCCCCTCTCCCCTACCTTCTCCTCCCTACCTTCTCCTTTCTCTACCTCCTCCCCTCTATTCCTCTTCACATCTCCCCTTCTCCTCTCCCTACCTTCTCCCCTCTCTCTACCTTCTCCCCTTTCTCTACCTTCTCCTCCCTACCTTCTCCCTCTCCTTCTCCCCTCTCCCCTACCTTCTCCCTCTCCCTACCTTCTCTCCCCTACCTTCTCCCCTCTCCCTACCTTCTCCCCTCTCCCCTTCTCCCCTCTCCCTACCTTCTCCCCTCTCCCCTACCTTCTCCCCTCTCTTTCCTTTTTCTTCTCCCCTTCTCTGCCTCCTCCCTCTATTCCCTCTTCACATCTCCCCTCTCCTCTTTCTCCCTTCTCTACCTTCTCCCTTATTCCTCTTTCTCCCTCTCTGCCTTCTCCCCTTCTCTACCTTCTCCCTCTATTCCCTCTTCACATCTCCTCTACCTCCCCTCTCTCTACCTTCTCCTTTCTCTACCTTCTCCCCTCTATTCCTCTTCCTCTCCCTCCCTACCTCTCCCCTCTCCCTACCTTCTCCCCTTTCTCTACCTTCTCCCTCTATTCCCTCTTCATCTCGCTCTCCCTACCTTCTCCTCTCTATGCCTTCTCCCCTTTCTCTACCTTCTCCTTTTCTACCTTCTCCTTTCCCTCTTCATCTCCCCTCTCCCTACCTTCTCCCCTCTCCCTCCTTCTCCTTCCCTACCTTCTCCTCTCTTCCCTTCTCCCCTTCTCTACCTTCTCCCTCTATTCCCTCTCTTCATCTCCCTCTCCCTACCTTCTCCCCTCTCTACCTTTCCCTTTCTCTACCTTCTCCCTCTATTCCCTCTTCATCTCCCCTCCCCTACCTTCTCCCCTCTTACCTTCTCCCCTTTCTCTACCTTCTCCCTCTATTCCCTCTTTTTTTCTCCCTACCTCTCCCCTACCTTCTCCCCTTCTTACCTTCTTCCTCTTTCCTCTTCATCTCCTCCCTGCCTTCTCCTCTTTCTCCATCTCTCCTCTCTTCTACCTTCCCTCTCCTCTCTCCCTCCTTCTCCCTCTACCTTCTTTCCTTTCTCTACCTCCTCCCTCTATTCCTCTTCACATCTCCCCTACCTTCTCCTCTCCTACCTTCTCCCCTCTCTCCTACCTTCTCCTTTCTCTACCTTCTCCCTCTCTCCTTCTCCCTCTCCCTACCTTCTCCCCTCTCCCCTACCTTCTCCTCTCCCTTCTCCCTCTCCTACCTTCTCCCTCTCCCTACCTTCTCCCCTCTCCCTACCTTCTCCCTCTCCCTACCTTCTCCCTCTCCCCTACCTTCTCCCCTCTCCCTACCTTCTCCCCTCTCCCTACCTTCTCCCCTCTCCCCTACGTCTCCCCTCTCCCTACCTTCTCCCCTCTCCCACCTTCTCCCCTCTACCTTCTCCCCCTTCTCTACCTCCTCCCCTCTATTCCCTCTTCACATCTCCCCTCTACTTTCTCCCTTTCTCTACCTTCTCCCTCTATTCCCTTCACATCTCCCCTCTCCCTACCTTCTCCCCTCTCTCTACCTTCTCCTTTCTCTACCTTCTCCCTCTATTCCCTCTTCCATCTCCCCTCTCCCCTACCTTCTCCCCTCCTTCTCCTCTTTCTCTACCTTCTCCCCTCTATTCCTCTTCATCTCCCCTCTCCCCTACCTTCTCCCTCTACCTTCTCCTTTCTCTACCTTCTCCCTCTATTCCTCTTCATCTCCCTCCCTACCTTCTCCCCTCTCTATACCTTCTCCCCTTTCTCTACCTTCTCCCCTTTCTCTACCTTCTCCCCTCTATTCCTCTTCATCTCCCCTCTTCCCTACGTTCTCCCTTTCTCCCCTCTCCCCTACCTTCTCCCCTCTCTCTACCTTCTCCCCTTTCTACCTTCTCCCTCTATTCCTCTTCATCCCTCTCCCTACCTTCTCCCCTCTCTCTACCTTCTCCCATTTCTCTACCTTCTCCTCTATTCCCTCTTCACATCTCCCTCTCCCTACCTTCTCCCCTCCCTACCTCCTTAGACAAGTGCAAGCAGGCACTAGTCGATCCATAGGTACCATGATGAGATGTATCCAAGTGAAACATGTATATGGAGCAAGTAACAAGATCACTAGATTACAAGATGTTTGTAACCGCTTAGATTAAGGTTAAGATATAAGTACCTTTGGCAGTATGTTCCTCAAACAGATGTAAACAAACTAAATGTAAAGTGTGTGTGGCCATACATATGGCCACACATGGCTACTAAGTCCTCGACTGTGTGAAAGATAGAACCTTTTAGGGACAGGTCCAAGCACTGTGTGTGAAATGGCACAACACTTCATCTTTAATGGCAAGATAGCCGTCATATTAAGATTGTATCCACTTTTTTGCACTTAGTAACTATATCAATTCTCATGTACAGAACCAAATACACAATGCTTGAATACCTCCCACGTAAATGTGAATAACAAAGTGTGAGGCCAGACATACTGCCTCACACGCCTGTACTCACGCATTTGTGAATAAGTTACCTTTATGTATAGAACTAAACAAATAATGTAAATGAAATACTGTGTAACTTTCAGTGCCATAATATCCTGACAACGGGGTTAATTATTATGACCCTTTGTAAACCCTACTCTGTAATCCTTTTGCGCTACCGCTCACAGATAGTGTAGAATTGCAGCAATAAAGTAACCGCTGCAAGCAACAAAATCAATCAATCCCTTTCTCTACCTTCTCCCCTCTATCCCTCTTCATCTCCCCTCTCCCTACCTTCTCCCCTCCCCTACCTTCTCCCCTTTCTCTACCTTCTCCCCTCTATTCCCTCTTCACATCTCCCCTCTCCCTACCTTCTCCCCTTTCCCTACCTTCTCCCCTCTATTCCCTCTTCACATCTCCCCTCTTTGGGCCTCAGTTCTTAATAGGTGAAGATCATTGCCAGTGAGCTGTATGACCCCTCACCTACCAACTACCTTTTCCCCTCTCTCACCAACCAACACCTCTCCCACCTCACCCACAGCCCTCCCACCTCACTATCCTACCAACCCCCTCCCCTCCCATCACTCACCCACCAACCATCTCATCCTCCCCTCCCCTCTCGTCCCCTTCCCCCTTACCCACCACCCCCTGTCCCCTTCACTCTTCGACCCACCAACCACCCTTCTCTTCTCACTCCTCACCTCATCTTTCCTTTTCTTCAGGTGCTGATGGGCGGAGGTCGTCGGCACCTCATCCCGACGACTGTGTATGACCGGGAGGAGAGGAACCAGCGCGGGAGGAGGACGGACGGGAGGAACTTACTTGATGAGTGGGTTCACGACAAGAAGACTCGGGACCTCAACGCTGAATATGTCTGGAACAAGGCCCAGTTTGATAAGGTCGACCCCAGGCATACCGACTACCTGCTAGGTGAGTCATTTAACACCTGTTGAATGTCAGTGGGTAAATTAGGCCTGATGGATGAGTAAGACTTGGCGCAAGGGCCATAATACCCACCTAGGAACCTGTTGCAAGGACCATAATACCCACCCAGGAACCTGTTGCAAGGGCCATAATACCCACCCAGGAACCTGTTACAAGGACCATTATATCCACCCATGGTCCATGAATTTGTTGCAAGGCCATAATACCCACCCAGGAACCTGTTGCATGGGCCATCATACCCACCCATGGTCCATGAATTTGTTGCAAGGGCCATCATGCCCTCCCAGGAACCAGTTGCAAGGGCTATAATACCCACCCAGGAACCTGTTGCATGGGCCATCATAGCCACCCATGGTCCTTGAACCTGTTGCAAGGGCCATCATGCCCTCCCACGGTCCATGAACCTGTTGCAAGGGCATAAAGTATGTAATGATGTAATGAATGCTCTGAATCTTCCCTTTTTAATACATTTTTTTTCTCAATCATTTCATTCAGATAAAGAAATATTACCCCGTCAATATTCAGTGTGTATTTATGTAACCCTGCGCGATAGCCAGCGGTAATTAATATTCTTATTAGGCAATTTCATGAGTAAACACCATTACTACTTAACGTTACCTTTGTACATGAGAGATGAGCTCTGACTGATTCCGAAGCTTCATTTCACTTCAGCTTATTATGTACATACGTTCTAACACACACACAGTCACCTGCACATGTACACAGGCAGGTGTGTACACTCTTGTTCACTGGCCTGTGTATTTAAGATTACATACGTACGTTTTTTTCTCGTGTTAGTTGTGTGTATCTCTCTCTCTCTCTCTCTCTCTCTCTCTCTCTCTACATCACCACCCCCTTTTACCATATAAATATCACTCACCACACATTTCTCACCACCCTCCCTCACCACCCTCCCTCACCGCCCTCCCTCACCACCCTCCCTCACCACCCTCCCTCACCACCCTCCCTCACCACCTTTCCTCATCAACAGGTATTTTCGGCTACTCACACCTGGACTTCGAGGTGGACAGAAACAAGGGCCCAACAGGTGACCCTTCCCTGGCTGAGATGACTGTCAAGGCGATTCAGATCCTGCGTAAGAACCCACACGGCTTCTTCCTTATGGTGGAAGGTAAGGATGAGGAAGGTGTACATGTATTTAGGGTGAGGGAAGGAAAGGAGGGAGAGAAAGGGAGGTAGGGAGATGACGAAGGGGGGAGGGAAGATGAGGGAGAGAGGGAGAGAAAGGATGGATAGTGAGGAAGAGAAGGATGGGAAGATGGAGGGAAGGAGGAGAGAGAAAGTAGGGATGGGGGGAGGGAAGAAAGAGGGAGAAGGAGAGGAACAAGGTCGGAAGTGAAGAGAGGTTGGGGCATTGGGGAGACGTATAAAGGTAAGAATATAGGAGGGAGAGAAGAAGGGGAGAGATAAAGTAGATGATAAAGAAGGGAAGAAGGGGAGTAGGAAGAGGTAAAAGATAGTGATGGGGAGAAGTGGAGAGGTTAAAGATAGGAGAAGAGGAGAGAAGAAGGAGAGAAGGGTAGAAACGAAAAGTGTTATTGAAAGACAGACGGTAAGGAGTAAATTATAAGGGATGAATGAAGAAAGAAAGCAATGAAAGCAGGAAGGAAGGAAGGAAGTAGAGAGACGATGAACAAATAATTTTCCTCATCTTTCACCCTCGGAAGACAACAAAGGTCAAGGACTGCGTGGTTGATGTCGATTATAATAATATTCACTCGGTATAATAACTTCAAGGTTAAGTCTGCCCAGGTACTTGTCCAGTCGTCTTACACAGGTGTACAGGACGTCCTCTCCATATATAAATCAGTTAACAGTCAAAAATATATATTATTGTTTTTTTTTACTTGTATATATTTTTGCAATGTGCATATAAAAATTTTATATATTGTGCTCATGTGTATAAGAATTATCAACCTGTGTAATTAATTATTTGTAATAATTTAATATTAAAGACTATTATTATTTATCATGTGTGTAAAAAATGTGTTTCTTTATATGTCTGAGATATTTCATTTTCACACATGCACTTCAGTTTCAGATATACACTTCAGTTTCAAGCATATACTCCAGTTTCAGACATATACTCCAGTTTCAGACATACAGTACATTTCAGTTCCAGACATACACTTCAGTTTCAGACATACACTTCAGTTTCAGACTTATATTCCAGTTTCAGACATACTCTTCAGTTTCAGACAAATACTCCAGTTTCAGACATACACTTCAGTTTCAGACATACACTTCAGTTTCAAACAAATACTCCAGTTTCAGACATACACTTCAGTTTCAGACTTATATTCCAGTTTCAGACATACTCTTCAGTTTCAGACAAATACTCCAGTTTCAGACATACACTTCAGTTTCAAACAAATACTCCAGTTTCAGACATACACTTAAGTTTCAGACATATACTCCAGTTTCAGACATTTACTCCAGTTTCAGACATATACTCCAGTTTCAGACATACACTTCAGTTTCAGACATACACTTCAGTTTCAGACTTATATTCCAGTTTCAGACATATACTTCAGGTTTCAGACATTACTTCAGTTTCAAACAAATACTCCAGTTTCGACTACACTTCAGTTTCAGACTTATATTCAGTTTCAGACATATACTTCAGTTTCGCAATCTCCAGTTTCAGACATACTCTTCAGTTTCAAACATACACTTCATTTCAAACAAATACTCCAGTTTCAGACATACACTTCAGTTTCAGACATACACTTCAGTTTCAGACTTATATTCCAGGTTTCAGACATATACTTCAGTTTCAAACAAATACTCCAGTTTCAGACATACAATTCAGTTTCAGACTTATATTCCAGTTTCAGACATATCTTCAGTTTCAAACAAATACTCCAGTTTCAGATATACTGCAGTTTCAGACATACACTTCAGTTTCAGACTTATATTCCAGTTTCGGACACACACTTCAGTTTCAAACAAATACTCCAGTTTCAGACATACACTAAGTTTCAAACATATACTCAGTATCAGACATTTACTCAGTTTCAGACATATACTCCGTTTTGAACAATAGTATACTCCCAGTTTCAGACATATACTCCAGTTTCAGTCATATACCCAGTTTCAGACATATACTCAGTTTCAGACATATACTCAGTTTCAGACATATACTCCAGTTTCAGACATATACCCAGTTTCAGACATACACTTCAGTTTCAGACATTTACTCGGTTTCAGACATACAATTAAGTTTCAGACATATACTCCATTTCAGACACGCTAATTTCAGACATATACTCCAGTTTCAGACATTTACTCCACTTTCAGACATATACTCCAGTTTCAGACATATACTCCGGTTTCAGACATATACTCCAGTTCAGACACACACTTCAGTTTCAAACAAATACTCCAGTTTCAGACATACACTTCAGTTTCAGACATACACTTCAGTTTCAGACTTATATTCAGTTTCAGACATATACTTCAGTTTCAAACAAATACTCCAGTTTCCGACATACACTTCAGTTTCAGACATACACTTCAGTTTCAAACAAATACTCCAGTTTCAGACATACACTTCCGGTTTCAGACTTATATCAGTTTCAGACATATACTTCAGTTTCAAACAAATACTCCAGTTTCAGACATACACTACAGTTTCAGACATACACTACAGTTTCAGACACCACTTCAGTTTCAGACTTATATTCCAGTTTCAGACACACACTTCAGTTTCAAACAAATACTCCAGTTTCAGACACCACTAAGTTTCAGACATATACTCAGTATCAGACATTTACTCCAGTTTCAGACATATACTCCAGTTTTAGACATAGTATACTCCAGTTTCAGACAATTCTCCAGTTTCAGTCATATACTCCAGTTTCAGACATATACTCCAGTTTCAGACATATACTCCAGTTTCAAACATATACTCCAGTTTCGAACACATCTCCAGTTTCAGACATACACTTCAGTTTCAGACATTTACTCAGTTTCAGACATACAATTAAGTTTCAGACATATACTCCGTTTCAGCATGCACTTCAATTTCAGACATATACTCCAGTTTCAGACATTTACTCACTTTCTAGACATATACTCCAGTTCGACATATACTCCAGTTTCAAACATATACTCCAGTTTCAGACATACACTTCAGTTTCAGACATTTACTCCATTTTCAGACATACAATTAAGTTTCAGACATATACTCCAGTTTCAGACATACACCTTCAGTTTCAGACATATACTCCAGTTCAGACATACATGTTTCAGACATACAATTAAGTTTCAGACATAATTAAGTTTCAGACATATACTCCAGTTTCAGACATAGACTTCCGGTTTCAGACATATACTCCAGTTTCAGACATATACTTCAGTTTCAGACATATACTCCAGTTTCAGACATACTCCAGTTTCAGACATATACTCCAGTTTCAGACATATACTCCAGTTTCCAGACATTTACTCCAGTTTCAGACATATACTCCAGTTTCAGACATACACTTAAGTTTCAGACATATACTCCAGTTTCAGACATTTACTCCACTTTCAGACATATACTCAGTTTCGACATATCCTCCAGTTTCAGACATATACTTCAGTTTCAGACATACACTTCAGTTTCAGACATTTACTCCAGTTCAGACATACAATTAAGTTTCAGACATACAATTAAGTTTCAGACATATACTCCAGTTTCAAACACATACTCCAGTTTCGAACATATACTCCAGTTTCAGACATTTACTCAGTTTCAGACATATACTCCAGTTTCAGACACTTAAGTTTCAGACATACTCCAGTTTCCGAACATTTACTCCACTTTCAGACATATACTCCAGTTTCAGACATACTCCAGTTTCGAACATATACTCCAGTTTCGAACATCACTTCAGTTCAGACATTTACTCCAGTTTCAGACATACAATTAAGTTTCAGACATATACTCCGTTTCAGACATACTCAGTTTCAGACATACACTTCAGTTTCGAACAATTACTCCAGTTTCAGACATTCAATTAAGTTCCAGACATACAATTAAGTTTCAGACATACAATTAAGTTTCAACATATACTCAGTTTCAGACATATCTCCAGTTTCGACATACACTTCAGTTTCACATTTACTCCAGTTTCAGACATACAATTAGTTTCAGACATACAATTAAGTTTCGAACATACTCCAGTTTCAGACATATACTCCAGTTTCAGACATACACTTCAGTTTCAGACATTTACTCAGTTTCAGACATACAATTAAGTTTCAGACATACAATTAAGTTTCAGACATACAATTAAGTTTCAGACATATCAGTTTCAGACATATACTCCAGTTCAGACATACACTTCAGTTTCAGACATTTCTCCAGTTTCAGACACACAATTAAGTTTCAACGCCTTTCAGTTTCAGACATATACTCCAGTTTCAGACATTACTCCAGTTTCAGACATATCTCAGTTTCAGACATTTACTCCACTTTCAGACATATACTCCAGTTTCAGACACTTATCTCCAGTTTCAGACATATACTCCAGTTTCAGACATACACTTCAGTTTCAGACATTTCCAGTTTCAGACATACAATTAAGTTTCAGACATATACTCCAGTCTCAGACATATACTCCAGTTTCAGACATATACTCCAGTCTCAGACATATACTCCAGTTTCAGACATATACTCCAGTCTCAGACATATACTCCAGTTTCAGCCATCATCTACGCAGTATAGAGCTGGGGATTCTCATGATGTTTTTAATTACTAATTAGTTATTATTTGTATTAATCTGTTAGGCCTTTCAGAGGACCTTTAGTAAGCTCTCTCTCTCTCTCTCTTTCTCTTCTCTCTCTCTCTCTCTCTCTATCTCTCTTATCTCATCTCTCTCTCTCTCTCTCTCTCTCTCTCTCTCTCTCTCTCTCTCTCTCTCTCTCTCTCTTCTCTCTCTCTCTCTCTCTCTCTCTCTCTCTCTCTCTCTATTCCTCTCTCTCTCTCTCTCTCTCTCTCTCTCTCTCTCTCTCTCTCTCTCTCTCTTCCATCTTCAGGTTATCCTCGTATTTTTTGCTCCTTTACTGTTTATTTTTTGACAGCTATTCCATATTCGTATAACATCAGAGATAGATAGATAGATG